AGAGAGAGAGAGAGAGAGAGAGAGAGAGAGAGAGAGAGAGAGAGAGAGAGATGTAAATACATGTTGGCCTTCAAAGGAAACGACCACCGAAAAATGGAAATAGCGTTGTTGCAGGTAGACCTAAGTGAATCCTTGGATTTGTTGATAAATAGGGCCAGTGGAGGGAGTGACAATATACTCCGTTTAGTTATTCTTAGAATAATAATATGCGAGCGAAAAATACGGGTAACAAGCTCTAGTATTTGCTTAGAAGCTTACACAGAATTTCTGGATAACACCCTTTGTGTAACTGACGTCCCCTAAAATCAGCCAAACAAAACATTTGGTCCCCCCCCCCAGCCGTGATGACCTAATGAAATGAAGAGGACGAACCCCACTCCCCGCCCCCTCATTGTCCATGTCACCGGTATTTACAAGACTACGGCCCGCGAACATGCTCCTGGACAAAATTATGGAGGTTCGCGTGAGAGTCTCGGATACGTCGCAATGAACCTAGGCCTAGGCCACGAATGAACCCACATCACGGTCGCGTCACGGGAAGCCCTCCACGGCCGCGTCACAGAACCAAGCGACTGGAGAAAAAGAAAGCGAAACAAGTCCCAGGCCGACCAATTCACGTAACCGAAGCACATATATACCCATAAAACTCTTCCGCGTAATGTGTATCCGTGGTTAATGAGTTTTAATGGTTGCATAAATATTCAACATTTTTAACTGAAAAATTGTTAAGTACCACTTAATTGTAATAGAATAAAAGGCAAGGAAACATAAAGCATTGGTAAAAGTAGACGTAGAGTTTTTTGCTACACAGTGTCTAGCGTAGTAATTTCACTTCCGCGTCTGTGTTCAGCTTACCCACGACACATTGCCGGCTTGTCATTTGCACAATGTACGCCAAATTTGCGTTCAATCATGATTTTATTTTTATTTTAGCTAATATTAATACACATTTTTGCCCACCCCCACCCCAAACCATATACACATGTAATATCTTTATGGCGTAGAAAAAGAATCAATTAGTTTTACCTGTAGCTTTAGGCTAGTAGTGTGATAACAACGGGCCTTTCCAGTGTGGCTGCTACAGAAGTAGAGTTGTTGTTTAAGTACAAATATGTTAACTCTATTTCTACTGAGGTTTTCATTATAATCCACAGTATTTTAAAGCTAACCTGTTTACATTTTATCAGAAAAAGGAAAACGAGCTTTGGCTCTCAGAATTAAGTAATAAGAGAGAAAAACGAGCACATGATGCCATATATTTCTTTGGTGAACGTAAATCCCATCTCATACCTTGAATGACTGGTGCTTTTGACTCTGTGTAAACAGGATTAAAGCTGATAAGTTATATGACCTGCATAGAGTTATCTCCTTTTTAAACAGTGTACATCTATGATGACTTGTCCCTTCCCCCTCCCTTACTGCCCCGCAAAAAGCTGATCGTGCCGCGGTCGTTAAATATAATTGTATCTCGTCTTCTTGGTTAAACCTGGCCAACCATCACAACTCTCTTGGGTTTTGTCTGCTTGCTTGGCACGTTCGAATAAACAAGGAGCGGTACCAAGATTTTGAAAATTTTCAATTTCGTGGCTTCTTCCAGAAGCGGATTACTTTCCATTTCATAGTACTCTTGAAACAACACATTGACTGAAGGTATTTTTTTTTATTTTGCTCGTTTGTAAGGTCTGGCACAGTCCAGACACCGCTCCCCCATCCCTTCTGCTGACCATTTTGAATCGTTGAATGGCGTCCAGTTTCGCCCGATGACGCATCCGTGCGCTTTGCCGTCGAGTGAATGCTTTACTTTTACGTTAGTTGACGAAATGAGAGCTTGGCATGTGTTTCGTGATTTTGTTCATCAACTTTACTGTGGTGTTATTACCTTTTACGCAGACTTGACCATCCGTGTTTCTAAGTCATTCTTCATCTTTTGCTACTTTCTCCCCCCACACCCACCCCTCTCCCGCGCCCCGCTTTGTTGACAATGCTGTTCGACTGTTTGAAGTGTGGATCAAGTAGGTTCTGGTTCTAAATTGAGGGATTTGATCTAGATTTAAATCTAGATCTAGATCTAGATCTAGATCTATGTGTAGATTCTCTCGTTAAAAGATATAATCTAAGAGGTCTTGTAGTGCCCTTCGTCTTAGCAGTAGCCTACTGCTAGATCTAGATCTAGGACTAGATTCTAGATCTAGATCTAGATATCTAGATCTAGCTAGAGCTAGATCTAGATCTAGATTCTAGATCTAGATTCTAGATATATAGATTATATCTAGATGTAGATCTAGATCTAATCTAGATTCTAGATCTAGATATCTAGATCTAGACCTACTGCTAGATCTAGATCTAGATCTAGATCTAGATCTAGATGTAGATCTAATCTACTAGATTCTAGATCTAGATCTAGATCTAGATCTGCCAGCCTACTTAGTTTAGTCTGCTAGATTCTACTAGATCTAGATCTAGATCTAGATCTAGATTCTAGATAGATCTAGATCTAGATTAGATCTAGATCTAGATCTAGATCTAGGTTTCTTTATGTTCAACTTCAACTTTGATTACTTTGTTACACTCTTCCACGTTTCACTGTGTGTGTGGCTGGATTGAACTTTGGTGGACCAGAGTTTACATATGAGCACTGGCCATAACAACAGTGGAGGGTCTCAGGGGAACTAGCCCCCCTGTTAGTGGGGTGGTTTCAGGGGGGCCAAGCCCCTGCAACAATAATAGGCCTAATTAAATTAACCCTCGTCCTTCGGGGGCCGGGTTTATGTTGCCTGATAAGCCTATTTCGGCACCTCGCCTACGTTCTGGTCCCGAGTCAGTCTAGCCCCTGGCTCAGCGCACGCACACCACACATCATCTTACGTGAAATTCGGGTCCCGAGACAGATCCCCATTTACGCAGGTCAAGTGTGTGTGCATCAGTCTGCATGAGTTTGTTTGTTTGTGGCCTTCTTCTAGAACAGCCTGCGTTGGTTCGTAATCGAGGCATACGTCTCATTCAAAACATGCCAAGTTGGTAGCTCTAGATGTTCGTCCAATGAAATTAGAGAAGAAATTGACCCACTTAGAAATGAGGAGCTCGAAAGGATAGCAGGAAACAAGATTTCCATTTTTCTAAACAAAATCTTTCAAATGAGCTTGATTTTGTATGAAATGATACTACCTGATTAAAATTAAGCTTGTTTGATAGTTTTGAATACCATTGTTGTGCAGGTACAAAGAACAATTTGAGTCCAAAACTGACCTAGATCTACATATATAAATTCCCTCAGGTCATTCATAACAACAAGAGCGAGTGCATCTAGAAAGGTTGTTCGAATGGGCATAGCTACTCGTAATGTCTTAGTCTTATCAGCTTGTGAGAGGGGGTTATTCATGATATGTGTTTGTAACACTTTATAAATAGCTATGAAAGATATATATAGCGTTATTTTCATCATCGATTAATTAACACACTCCCACGGTATCCATGGCGGAAACACACGTTTCCCGGCGCGCGCGCTGTTGACCAACAGTACACACTGAGTGACACCGGTGGCCTGCCCGGCACGTCCGACGCAATCGGTTGCTGATAAGATTCGCATCTCAGCTCAGACGCAGGACAAGAGTTAAAAAAAAAACATATATAGATGCAAAACAATAGCATAAGAACAGACCATTGCACAGCGAGGCTCAAAAGTAGTTTCGGCTTCGTTCAGTGTTGGGTGTACCAAAGTTCAATCTTACCGGGTAAAAAAAACAACTGGTGTTACAGGGCATGCCCCCCTGTTTTAACCCACATATGATGATATTTTAAGGTTAGTAACTGAGTTAGGTTTGAAATTTTCTTGAGAATAATTGATTTGCGACAGTTCTGGTGGCTTTATGTGTGAACTGCAGCAAACAATACTGCAGTTTGATCCCCGAATCGGGCATCTGTGTGCAGGACTGAAAGTATTTAGACTCTACCTATATTTTGGGCTCTTATAATACTTTGTTTTTTAAGTTCATTAATAATGAGACAAGTGGTTGAAATCCATTGGACTAATTTGGTTATATTATTGAATTGATAGGCATATTTTCAGGAATTTTCTTTTTTGCAGATATGCTTTGATGATTGGTCATTGTCAGATATTGATGGACTATGATAATTGATGAATAAATTATTATAATTATATTATTATTACAGTACATGCAGTTATGTTGGTTTGGTCAATAAAGTTATGTATGACTCAATGCACTCTGTCCTCAGGGTTGGTGATTTTTTTGATTTTTTAAATAAAAATTTAAAAAATCGATTTTTTAAAGTTAAATCAAGATTTTTAAAATTTAAATCGGATTTTTTATATTTTTTTAATTAAAAAAAAAATGTCGACCCAGTTGGGGATTTTTGGTTGCTAAAATTATGTTCTTTTAGCGCAAAATGCATTGGTCTTTATTTTAACTAATGATTAATTTAAGCAACCGCAAAAGAAAGCCTTAATCTGCTATATATATCAGTGAATTATGGCTACAGACAAAAAATGAAGAAAATGTCAGTCTAAAAGGAAGGGGAGGGGGGGGGGGGGGTAATTGTGTATAGATAAACTTGCATTTTATTACAGTGTGTGTGTGTGTGCGCGCGCTTGTGTTTGTCTAAAAAGAAAAAGAAAATGTTAATTTCAATTATGAAAAAAAAAGGAAATTGAATACTCTATTATTTTACAGTAACAGGAGGGAAAGCAGACTTTTAAGCATGATTAAATTAGTCTACTAAACCTTATACTGTTTTATAAAACCAAGGAAAGGAAATCTGAATGTTTAAAGATGTAAAAACAGAGTACATTTTTTAAAAAGTGATTTAAATCACTGAGTTTTATTTTTAAAATCAAGTTGATTTACATTTTTTAAAATCAACTGATTTAAATCGACCTGATTTAAATCAACCCAACCCTGATTTCAATTATGGAAAAAAAGTCAATTGAATACTGTATTATTTTACAGTGACAGGGGGGAAAGCAGACTTTTAAGCATGATTATATTAGTCTACTAAACCTTTTATCTGTTTAATAAAACCAAGGAAAGGAATTCTGAATGTTGAAATATGTAAAAACTGAATACATTTTTAAAAAAGTTATTTAAATCACTGATAGTTATTTTTAAAATCAAGTTGATTAAAATTTTTAAAAATCAACTGATTTAAATCAACCCAGCTCTGATTTCAATTATAGAAAAAAAAGTAAATTGAATACTGTATTATTTTACAATGAAAGGAGGGAAAGCAGACTTTTAAGCATGGTTATATTAGTCTACTTAACCTTATATCTGTTTTATGAAACCAAGGAAAGGAATTCTGAATGTTGAAATATGTAAAAACTGAATAAAAATAAATTTTTAAAACAGTGATTTAAATCACTGATTTTTATTTTAAAAATCAAGTTGATTTAAATTTAAAAAATCAACTGATTTAAATCAACCCAACCCTGTATGTCGTCTATGCTTTTCTCTGACCAATCTGGCACTAGCCTTCATCCTGACCTGAGTAGCTTTGTCTCTTAAAACAGGAGCAGTTGGTGTTGGCACCAAAATCCAACATTGCACTCTAGTCTAGTTTTTTTTTTTTTGGTGTGTAAAGACGATATTATAGTATGGTGTATTTAAAAGCTTATAAGGCCTTCATGATATTCTGTACAGTTGATTTGGGGACACCAAATTTAGGCCTACTTTAATTTTAATTGAGACAGAATAGTTTTATGAGCTTGATTTTTTTTAAATGACACTGTCCATGGTCTTTTTCAGGTGAAAACCTGCAATGTTGAAGTTTTTCAAGAAACATCCCCCTAAAGAGGGAGAAGAAAGGGAGCGTTTGAAGAAGGAGCTTTTCAAGTTTCAGAAGGTAGCCTAGCCTATTTTGTAGACTAACAGTGACTAGTGACACAGACACTCCTCTTAGTAATACAACTTTTTTTCCCAATGGTTTTCTTGAATGCTATGTATTCCATGTATGTTGAATTTAAATTTTAAAAGAACGAAAATACAGTTGAAATTGTCCATGGTGACCACCCAATGTTAAGGAGAAAAGTGGTAATGTCAGACAGGTGGGCATCATGGACAATGTCTTAATTTAAAAAAATTAAAAAACCACAAGGGGAGGGGGTTGTTTGCACAGATAATTGTCTTCCCAGGTGGCTGTTAGAGCAGAGTTTTTTTGTTTTTTTTTGTCATGGCAAGTGTTTTATGGCACTCGCAACTGCATTATAAATAAGGTCATATGAACGTGCGGGAAACTAAAAAATTTTCAGTTGGTAGGAAATTTTGAATTTTGCGCGGGTGGGGGCTGAAGCCTACTGTTATCGGTTTTGGACCACCAAGGGATCTTTGACGCAAGCAACTTGCCCACAGTACCTCCAAAACTTTTTGCCCTAGTTCGAGAAGGCCAGGTGTAGATCTTTCCTATCATAAGATCAAGTGTGTGGCTGAAAGACAGCAGTAAGAAGGAGCCATGAAGTAACAAGAAAGGTTGCAGAAAGGGTCCGTAGCTCAGAAGAGGGGCAAAGGAGATGAGGGAGTGGGGGCGGAAAGTGGAGACGAAAGCAGACGACAGAACATTGTTACAGAGCATGAAAGGAGACAATTTTAGAGAAGAAAATTTTCCGTTGCTATGCGGATTCGAACCCAGGACCTATTGAATGAGAGGTAAACACCTTAACCTCTAGGCCGTGAGAGCCCCCAGAGCAGGTTTGACTGTATTCTTGAGACCTGAATAATGTCTATCAAAAGTACAAACAATTAGACCAGGTCTGATGTAGTACAGAAGTTGCATGTGTCACCTGGTACCACACACATGCAGAAGAAAAAGTCAAGGTCCAGTGTGGCAAGTGTTACCTTCTACCCACAATGTATAGTACTAGTACATGCTAACATACATTGTAATGGAAGATTAACATACTTTGGGCACAGTTCTGAGCTCCACAGTACAGAATTCATACCTTGCTGAAGCTTGTATTTTGTATGGAGATGATCTCTTGACATGTTGCTTTATTTCTGTTTGTGGTGCTACTTGCTCCAATCCAGCCACTGATGTCCTGTTCCTGTCTTCTTTTAAGTCTTTTTCCTCTTTTTCCTTCCCTCCTTTCTGTAGTGGTGGTTACCATTTTCTTCAGCAAGACTTGTCTTATGTGCCTGAGATTTGATGAGTTTTTGTGTCCTGATTGAAACACCTTGGTAGCATAATAAGTTAATTGATAGTGAGTTGATTCCTGACATTGATTGCAGTTTCGAGCTTCCTGTGATAAGGTGGGGTGTGTAAATGATCAGTTCATAGTCAGTGGGCACTCACAGAAACATCCTGGGGGTCACTTACGGAAAGGTTTGATCCAGTGAAAGGGCATGGTTTGGCACAATGTCCCCTCGCAGTGTTTTTTCAGGGTCGATGGGATGGACATAAGGATGGGTTGCTTGCAGCCTTCTTAAATGGAAACTTCCCGTACAGGCTACCTGAGACAATTTTATTTGAAACGGAGATTTTTTTGCCTGTCCATGTATGGAAAAGTTAGTGGAATACGTGAGTTGCTGTCTATAATCAACTAGCTATTGAATTTATAAGAAAATTCAGAAGAAAAAAGGGGGGGGGAAAGAAACATGTGTTGCGGTGTGCGTGGAATCAGGCACTCGTCAATTTTTGGGCATGTGGAGTTATTGATTCATCTTAAAGCTTGATTATTTATCTCGATTTTGATGTAAAAAACGGTCATCTGTCTTGAATAGAAGTTGAGATATTTGTGGTAAAGGTGGTGATTGGCGGGTATCAGAGCAAAAACTGGCGAGAAAGTGTCTGCCAAAGTTTGGTGACTTCCAAACCTTGAGTCCTTGGAAACTGCAAATTTTCATTTTTTGTTCCTTTGATCAACATTTTTCAAGTAAAATCCACTCAGAATGTGTGTTCTTAAATGGACACATCACATAGCATAGAGAGAAAGTATGGAGTCAAAAATAAAACCTTTGAAAAAATTTGCCCAACGACCAGAAAAATGCCGGTTTCCTGGATTACATTACATTATTTTGACAAGAGCTTGATTTCACCACGCTGCCTCACATATATGTCTGTTAATTGGAAGACCATGTAATATTTATTTCTTTGCATTTTGCTGTGATAGTTTTTATTTCTGAATTTTCTCTCTCAATAAATATTTGCCTGTATTGTTGGACTAATAGTTGTTCTGTGATGTGTCCTCAGTGTGTAGAGCATGGCTTCCCCAGCAAACCCACCGCGGTGGCCTACGACCCGAAGTTGCAACTTCTTGCGGTCGGCACTAAATCTGGAGCGATCAAAATGTATCCTTGACCTTATATATTATGTAGCTCTCTTGTATAGACAGTCATTTAAAGGACTTCATTGTCACTATGCTGAAACACCTCTCAGTAATTGATGTCACTGTGGTTGGGGGGGGGGGTTGTTTGTTGCTTCCTGTGCTGTTAAGGCTCAATGCTGTCTTTTGCCTTCTTTTCATTCGCTGAGTTAGGTTCAGGGGGTATCTATGGCTTGTGCGGGACATTACATTTTGTTAAAAGTTAAAAACGTTCTGATTGTTCTATTTGGGAAGTTTATAGCAGATAGATGTGATCATACGAAAATTTTGAAATCTGATTTTTTGAAGCTGTGGTTAGGATGTTGACTAGCTGGAATCTGTGCTGGCTTTGGCATGCGTGGATGTATTGCTCACATGTCACTTTCTTCCTTGTCTTCCTTCACTGTGCTCAGTTTTGGAACTCCTGGTTTTGAGGCCACAGGTGCTCATGATGAGGACGTCTCTGTCACCAGTTTGTTCTTCATTCCTGAGGAGGTAAGTCTTTTTATCTAACGTAGTTTGAAGCTGTTGTGGGATTAATTGTAGAATTAGTGTTGACAAAGGGATTGTTGCAGTTTCAGGAGGGATGCCCCTTGAACAAATGCATCATCAGTTTGGGTTGGGCTGGGTTGGGTGTTGGTGTTGGCCATTTCACATCATGTCAAAGAGGCCTTTGCTTTGCTTTTTCAAATTTGACCCTCAAGTCTACTAGGGCCTATTGCAGTAGATGCGCAAGTAAAAGGTCTGATCCGTCATTACGTAGTTGTAATTTGATTGGCTGTTAGGTCATTAGTTCATCTAACTGAAACTAGTTGTGACCGAGAAATGGAACATGTTTGATTATGTAGGATTTGATCAAATTGTGCTCAAGTGGTAGCTTTTACCCCTCTGTGAAGAAAAATCTTATTGCCCTCAACTGTACCACACCACATAAAACGGGGATTTGATTTAACTTTCTGCAATGTTTCATTTAATATTGTAAGAAAGTTCTGCTATACATATTTAAAATATGTAGATGGGTCCTTTTGGAAGCAGGCCCTACTTAAGGAGTTATTATAAATAATGTTTTCACTCTAGATTATTGTTGACAATGACACAAAAGAGAAAGTAAAATGTTATGGGGAAAATTTTTGATTTTGTGGATGACATCTAGATGATAGATCCCCTGGTAGGCTGGCTTACTTGCTGTTCTATCATAGGTGTGCCCATAGTTTTACCCAGGTTGTACGCAATTGTGTAGTGACGATGGCATAGTTCATAATCTTAACGAAGGTTTCAGTGTGGACATATTCAGGAACAGTCACTTTTCTGAGATATAGTGAGATGTTTGTATGATCTGCCTTCATGTAGGTTGTTGTTTTGATAACTTAAATTTTATATACAGGTAAAGTTTTGTCCCCACACAGAGTTACAGAGAAACAGATTTGCAGATGTACTTAGTCATGATATTAGTCTTTTTGTCTATTACAAGTTAGTATTTTTTGTCTAGTATGTTACAATTCTCTATGTGTCGGTGTTTGCCATATATAAAATTCTAGCTTGTATATTATTTTGTAGACAGGTTTGTGTGTGTTTGGTAATGTGCACAATATTGTGTGTTATGTCTCTTTCAGGGCAGGCTCATCTCCGTGTGCAGCGATGGTTCTTTACATCTTTGGGAAGTCAATAACACCCAAGACTCTTGTATACTGGAGGAGAAGCGCCTTGGCTCTGACACACTGTGGGTGCCTTTTTTAGTAGTAGTATTTTTTTTTATTTTAAAGAAAGGCATAACTGACTCTCTATTTGGTTTTGAAAAGCTTCCTTTTGACATTCTGTGAGTTCATGGGTGGTTGGCAGGTGCCCTCTTGTGGTTTGCTTCTTCTTTCCTATCAAACATCTATCGTCCTTATCTCCCCTTCTTTTTTTCCAATGTTTGTAACTCTGTTGTAACACCTCTAATCATCTGGTGTTCACATGACCTTATGTAGTTGCGAGCGCCGTAAAACCTGTACTAAAACTAAAATTCTATGAGTTCTTGTTTGGTAGGGGGCCACTTTGTTCGGACAGGTTTGAAGTGTTAGTTTTTAAAGAAATTCTTTCCTCTAATAGCCTGTGAATGTTTGTATCTTACTGTTCTGCTCTTGTTTTCAGAGGTTGTGTGTTTCAGTCTGAACTATACTTCTCTTAGTTTGCTCTGAAATGGGTAGTTTCAGTTGTTGTGGCATGCCCCTGTTACTTTTATTTCTGTTTAATTGTCCTGGTTTTTTTTACTGGCTGAATGCAGCCATTTGTCACATGATCTAGCTGTAAGCTGTAACCTAACATCAACAGTGAAAACCTTAAATGTTCTTTTTCTGTTTTGTTTCTGTGTACACCTTGAACTATTTTTTTTTTCTAGACCCCCGAATTCCTCTTGTGTGGGTTCACCCGTCACTAAATACCTTGTTCTGTATTGATTGTTTGTGGGTGTTTGTATGTGTGAATGGATATGTGTCAGAGATGCGTTGTAACGCTATCAAATTTGATGTACTCTGTGCATAATGTACTTTTATGCTGGTATGTGTCTTTCTTTCAGTTAGATGGAGAACGTATGATAGTGTATGCGCTTCCATGCATTATATTGTATCTTCTGTTATTCGAATAAGATACAGAGCATGTTAATGTGATGTATGTACTGTGTGCTTGAAGTATTCTTATAGTCTTAACTGTATTGTGTCTTGTTTCCTGGAAGATAAACATAAAGAGCGTGTGAATAAGATATAATGTGTATTTGTTGTTTCGGTAAAGTGAAGAGCATGTTGACATGATGTGCTCTGTACATGAAGTACTCTAACTATAGGCCGTATTGTATGTCTATTTCTATTGTTCCAGGAAGATCAAGAGCATGTCTACGTGCAGCCAGAGTGCAGATGGAACCACCCTGTATGTGGGCACAGAAACAGGCAATATTCATCTGCTGGACGCCAAGACGCTCACTGAGTCTGCTGTGGTCAACCTGGACTCCATAATTCAGAAGTGAGACTCTTGATAAGTTAATGGATGGTTGATGGTTGCTCTTGTTTGGTCTACTCATATATTTCTTTTCAGTGTTACCGTTATTCACGTGTATTCCTGTTGAAATGTAACTTAATCCTTGTCTTTTCCGTTTTTTTAATGTTCACCTCCACAACTGTATTGTATGGTATCACCTGATTAAGCCAGGCCTGACTGCTTCTGTTTCCCTTTGTGCATCCTGAAACAAAATGTCCTGGTTTCTCATAGAAATCACTCGCCCATATCTCTTATTACTCTGTCAGTTTGTTAAAACATTTGTAAGTGGGTGATTGGCAGGTGCTCTGGTGTGCCTCACTCCTTCTTTCCTATCAAACATATATCGTTCTGATCTCTCCTCCTTTTTGTGTTTGTTACTCTCAAGTAACACCTCTAATCTTCGGCTTTTATATGACTTTATTGTGTTGCAAGTGCCGTAAAACTCTTACTAAAAAACTAAGTACATTTATAGTTGTCCCTGTTTTTTTAGAAAACATTGACCTTTATGGAGTAAATGTTCTCCGGTGTATTAAATAAGAGTCTGAATGCCCTTGTTTTTTTAACGAAAACAGTTAACATTTATCTGATATTTCTCCTCCAGCGTTCCAGAAGATTTCAAAGTGAACCCCGGGGCTGTGGAAGCTGTGGCAAACAACCCAGTCCAGGCAGACAAGGTAATGTCAACTCTCGACACTGTTTTCTCTGAATAGTTACGATAGTTAATAATTAGCTCTGCTGCAAATTGGTCTTGAGTCAGTCAATTTCTTAACATGTATGACTTAAAAGGGAAATAAAGCAGTTACGTTTTGAAAGGGTTACTGAAGACACATTCTTTTGGCATGTGTAAAATCTAGTGGGGCATTTTCCTAGCATGGGTAGATTAAGAAGAGGATAGGGACTTTCATGAAGTGCTAAAAAAAGGCTTGGTAGTTATTTAAATATAGATATTATCTTGTAAGTGTTGTCGAGTATGTGCTTTTATCATGTAGGTCATTGTGAGTTTCTGTGTTTCCCCCAGGTACTGATAGGCTTTAACAGAGGTCTGATCGTGTTGTGGAACACGGTGGAGAACTCGCCAGAGAAGACGTTCAATGCTACACAGGTGAGTACATGACTGTCACAGTAGTGTGTGTGTGTGCATGCTTGTTGAAAAAGGATGCCAGTGTGGGTGTTGAAGGCAAAGGTTACCAACTTGGGTGTCTGTAGATCCAGAATGGGTGTCTGTAGACTAAGAATAGCAATGTGGATGTCTGTAGACTAAGAATAGCAAACAAGAATGTGTGTGAAGGCCTAGTCTGAAGTTATATATAGCTGTGTGTGTATCTATGCTTGCACAGCTAAGCTTAATGAACTTGGATAAACTGAACTTTGTATCAAAAGATTTATTGAGTTGCTTGGCCATACTAGTCAATAGCAAACTAGCAATATACTTTTTATGGAAATTTTTCTACAAAATTGTCTTTCTTTTAGCAACTGGAGTCCCTGACCTGGAACAGAAATGGGGAGGAGTTCATCAGCGCTCACAATGATGGAAGCTTCATTGTATGGAATGTGAATGAGCCATCAGAGCCCAAAGAACCGGCCACAACACCTTATGGTAAGGGTTGGTTTCACCTTCTTTTGCCCAGTCTCAAAGTCTGTTGTCCCCTCTGTGTTGAGTTTAACCTCAAAGTCCATTGCCTGAAAATATTAGGTGTGTTCCGCATTCATATGACCTTATGCAGTTGCGAGCGCCGTAAAAACACTTACCAAAACAAACAAAACAAAGTCCATTGTCTGTCAGGTCTCTCCTTTGGTAAGTTATCATTAGTGGTTGGCAGATCATCTTTGCCTTTTTCATGGCAACTTGTTCTTATTTATTGTGCAGTCTGTTCACTGTACATGCTATCAATTCTTGCAAAGATTTCTCAATTTCCACAAATGATATTGGTTGTAAGCAAATGATGAGTTTCGCTGTTGGTGATGATAGATGCTTAATGGGAATGATTTGATATTGTTATTTTCATAGATTACTTTGGTTCTTGATTTTTGTAAGTGTTGTTAATTATGTAAAGTTGAATAATCTTTTCAAAAGTGTCACTTGAGTAGACACTGAAGGAAAGCAATTAATTTTTTTATGTTTGACATGTTTCTTTGTTCACATTTCAGGTCCATTCCCATGTAAAGCCATCCACAAGCTTCACTGGAAACAGACAAAAAAGTAAGTTTTTTTCTGTGGTTGGGTTTATGCCTGTTCCGAAAGTATCTTGAGCCCTGACCTGTGGTTCTCTGTTTGTTGTCAATAGATCAAGAAGGTTTCCCTTTTGTTTCCCTTGACCTTCAAGAGGATATTGGTAGTCAAAACAAGACCAAGTTGATATTCCTGCTTTCCTCCATTGTCTGTGAACACATGGTGAAATAAATTTTATGTGTGGGTGGTGGGGGCTCCAGTGTTCTGTGCTCTTGCTTGCTTTTCTGTGTCTTTGTAGCCTTATGTGTTGTTCCTGTACAAAAGGGACTTTTGTAACGCTAACTCATCATGGATTACAACTTAGCCATGTCCATTTGTTTTCAGAGTCCTTAGTCTGACTGACATCTGACCCTTGTCTGTCAGTCTTGTAGTTTGTTTATTTTCATTTACTGTTGATGAATATCGGCTAATTCATAATGCACACAAACACACTGTCTTTCTTTCTGACACACTCACTCACACCGTTTGTAAGAAAAGTACTCAACACTTGTGCTTTAAACTGCACATACGCTTACATAAGCACCCAAATTGCCGCTCTGATTAGTGAAAGTGTGTGGGTTTGACTGTGTGTTTGGGGTGTGTATGTGTATAGTGCATGCACAGAGTATCTGTTGGCATTTTCCAGTTGTGTGTTTGACGATTTGCTATAAAGCGTAATACTGATGAGTCCTCTGTATTCTTTTCTCTCTTTCCCCCTCAGCGAACCAATGATGATTTTCTCTGGTGGGATGCCCCGGGCCAGCTATGGTGACCGCCACACAGTGAGCATCATGCAGGGAGAAAACCACATTGTGGCTGAGCTCACATCCAGAGTGGTGGACTTTCTCACGGTGTGCCGAGCTGAGGAAAAAGATGCCATTGACAATGGTGGGTAAAACGGTCTTTGAAGATTGACATTATTTTGTTAGATGTCTTTAGCGCGAATAAAATGATTTTGTGTCATTTCTCAAAATGTTCTTTTTGGAAATTTTTTTCTCTTTCATGTAAGGTTCATCATTCGGGTTGTAGAAGTGTGTCATTTTCCGCTTGTGCCTCTCCTGTGATATTGTCAATATGTTGTTCTGCCTTTCATGATTGTGCACAAAGGTTCCAGGCTTAGACAATCCCTGCCTTATATGTCTGTCTAAGAGAAAGGTGGAGTCCATTATCACATCTTGCTCATGATATGTCTTTGATATCTGAAAATTATTAATGAAATGAGTTTTCTCATCCTCTTCATGTGTTGTGCATATATGTTAACTTGACACGTGAACTAGATTGTTTCATGTTCCTCAAATTAATGTTCCCACAGCTCGCCAACCCTCTGGTTGGTGGTTGGAGGGTGCCCGTGGTAGGTCCAATTCCTTTTTTTTTTCCTCTGTTGTTTGTGCCTGTCTATCGTGTCTTTTCCCTGTTCTAAATGGTGGCTATTTTGCTGATGCGCTTCTCTTTTTTTTCCAAGAGTCAAGAGATAAATAACCCAATCCCTTATTTTACAGGACGTGATGACCCTCATGCTCTCCTCATCCTGGCTGAGGAGGAGCTGGTGGTGCTGGACCTTGAGTCGGAGTCCTGGCCCTCCTTCCACCTACCCTACCTGACCAGTGTCCACTCCTCAGCCATCACTTGCTCCCAGCACATTGCCAATGTGCCACAGCAGCTCTGGCAGAAGATTTCAGATGCTGGGGACAACCAGGCCAAGAACTTTTCTCGCAGGGTTAGTTACGTCAGTGTGTAGTATATGCTGGGATTTAGTCACAGCTGTGTGTAGTGTATCCTGGAATTTTGTTACAGCAGTGTGTAGTGTATGGTGGAATTAAATCACAGCAGTGTGTAGTGTATGCTGGAATTTAGCCTCAGCAGTGTGCAGTGGTGTAATTTGTACTGGTGGGTGAATCACAGCAGTATGCACTGTATACTGAAGGGTGAGTCACAGCTGTGTGTAGTGGTGTAGAGTGTGCTAGTGGGTGACTTGCTGAAGTGTTCAGTGGTGAAGTGTGTACTGGAGCGATGAATTGCAATGTGTAATGGTATTGTGTGTACTGGAAGGCTAGTTGCTAGTGTTTGTATGTCCTCATTTGTGTCATTTCAATGAGTATTCCCATACCCTTGGTGGTTGCTCCAGTGTGGTTAACATCTTCTTTTTAATTCGATACCTCTATTTTGTGTATCATAAAGTTTTTCTGCTCTCTTTCAGGAGTGGCCTATCCAGGGTGGGAAGAACACGGCCCCTGCCAATGTCACCAAAGACTTGTTCTTGACCGGGTAAGACCTTCCTGTCTTCTTGTCTCTCCTCTTCTTCCCCTATATGGCTGTAGCCGACATCTGTATTTTGTGCTGCCCTGAAGCTTAAAGTGTTTGAAGTTTATAGTTAATGGGATGGGTGTGCAAATGAATTAATTCGCTCACCAACTGAAGTTGTGACAACACCTCCCCCCCCCCATGATGATTATGAGGTGCACATGTTGTCACTGTCTCAGGAAAAATGAGTTACTCTAGTGTTTTTCTTACTCTCCCTATGAATCAGGCGTCGGTGACCTAGTGGTTAGGCTCTCGGACTCGCAACCGTAAGGTCGTGGGTTCGAATCCCGTCAAGGACCCGACGTTGTGTCCTTGGGAAAGACACTTTGCGCAAATATTCCTCACTTCACCCAGGTGGAAACGGGTACCCGGCTATAGACAGTGAACGATCTTGTCAGTTTGATAGTGTTTGAGCGCGTGAAATCCGCAGCTTGCACTGTATGCTTCTGCGGAAGCCGAGAATGTTTCTGAGTGTTCTCAGAAGGTCTGCTGGGGTAATAATAGTTGTAAAGCGCATAGAGCACGCTCTTGAGCATGAATATGCACTATGTAAAAGCAATTATTATTATTATTAAAGTTATTGTTATTTTCAATTTGGATAACTTGTGACAGCTCTTTTCTTTTTTCTGTCTGTTATTGTGTTAACGTTGACTAAGTTGTCTTTACTCAAACTAAGTCTCTCGTCTTCTTACTAGCGTATTGTCTTTCTGCTGAGACCAGTGCTTCCACTCTTCCGTATTTTTACGGAAATCCGTACTTTCTGCCAGTTCCGTACTTGTTCCTCCATCATAATCAACTCCCTCCGTAAAAAAGCTGCGACAACGCAGGACTGCCGAAATTCCGTACTCGCCTTCGTGTCATCTTGTATAAGTTACGGAAATTTCTCTCGGCAACAGTTAAAGTTATGGAAACCTTCCAGATTACGCATTTCCTGCAATCGGCCATTATTCAGCTATGCCCCATGCTTTCATTGCGGGTTGGTTGACGGTACATTTTTTACCTTGAGACCATAGTAAAGACCCTGGAGCAGATCACCCAAGAATTTTTTAAGGCGCAGTAACACCAGGGGATGTTGTTGTCTTCTCTGACTCAATGTCACTACTCCAAGCCGTCAAGGGAGGAGGAGACTACAGAAAGGACGGGAACATTCTCAGCCTTGTAAAACAGATGGGCACTACCTATGGCGTCCGGGTCACACTGCAGTGGGTGCCTGGCCATTCTGGAGTACCAGGGAATGAGACTGCAGACCAGCTATCAAAGACTGGAGCAGGCCTGCCCCAGACAGACACAGCCGCCTCTTTACAGGCCTGCAGAGGGATCATCCAAGCCAAAAGCAGAGACGAGTGGCTAAACAGATGGGCCAACGCAGAAACAGGAAGATCTCTCTTCGGGTACATGAAAAAACCCAACCCCAAAGACCCATCGAATCTCTTATGTAGAGCTGATCAGACTTTGATCTTCAGAGGGCGCACAGGACACTTACACACCAACAAGCACATAAATAGAATTAACCCCATGTGGGAACCCCATTGCAGACACTGTGACTATCACGAGGAGACCATTGAACATCTTCTCCTTCACTGCCCAAACCTGGCAGTTCTTCGACGCATGCTCCTACGCACACCTACAGACCTACAAAGCCTGCACTACTCTGGCGCTGACCAGATGACAAGGACATGTGGTTACTTGAGGGAGGCATTGCGCTGCCAAGAGCGAAATGCTCGCAGTTAAAGGGATTTGAAAACAACAACCTGGAGATGGATCAAAATCTGACGAACTTTTTGTGCCAATTTCCTCCTTTCTATCATTCACTCATTCCTTCTGTCTATCTTCGGATTGTTGCCGCAGCAGGAAAATCTGTGCGTTGATCAAGTAAATTAACTTGTGATCTTAGAAAATGACTTTCAGAAACTTTTTTTTTCGAATTTGTCTAGATTTAGAAAAATTATCAATGCAAAGATTCTACGGCACGTGAACGCGATATAAGGGCCGCGATGAAAGAAATTTATATTATGCTGATACGGGGTGCCCACTACGGATGGGATCGGGCTGATCGCCCGACTCGGTCGCCTCAAAAACAAACATGTTTGTTTTCAGTTTCAGGCAATTGAGTCGGGCGATCGGCCCGCCCCGTTTCAGCCGTAGGTAAAATCAAGAATAATTCGAAGTGGTGTTCCGAGGTTGTGATAGGCGACATTCAAACATAAAAATTGAGAAAAAATTAGGGTATACGCTGGGCAACTGTATTTTGAACTATTTATTATTCCTATGTTTGCCTGCTATCAATGGTGCGATGACAAATTAATTGAATTATAGATCTAGTAGCAATGAAAGGGGAACCTGCTTTTAAACATTGCCAGCAATGGAAAGATATGTTGGTGAAGAAATCAAACAAGACCAAATGTTGGTGAAAAAATAAATGTTATTGGCTGTAGGCAATCTCTTAAAACAGGCTCTCAAATGCCATTTTCAACCCTCTAAAAGCTTTAAATTTCAATTTCTTCGGGAGCTTCGCCCCTTGAACCCCCGCCAGGACGCTGTCCCTGGACCCTGCTGGGTGTGGCCCCCAGACCCCCTGCAGAATTTTCCTTACTTTTCAGCTTCTGCTGGTGGAAGCACTGTGAGACGTATTGTTCCACATGGCCTGGGTTTGTCTTGACAGGCAGGATTGGGGGGGGGGGGGGGGATTTTACACAATTACAATGATTTCTACTATTGATGAATGTGGTGTGTGTTTTGCTGTGTGTCACAGACATGAGGATGGCACTGTGCGCTTCTGGGACGCCTCTGCCTCCAGCCTGCGCCTCATGTACAAGCTGAGCACCTGTCCTGTCTTCGGCATTCCGGACCACTCCACCGAACCTGCCAGCCCAGAGGAGGAGGAATGGCCCCCCTTTAGGAAGGTAAGTCTTGTGTTGTCTGACCTAGTCACAAGGGAGTTGCAGGTGTGGGGCACAGATTTGGGACAATTTAGCTTTTTTTGTATTACATCTATAATGTTGACCTCTGACCTAACCTCTGATGCTGATCTCTAATATTGTATCTTCTAGGTTACTCTATCGTAGTCTGTTGTGTTGACCTTCTGCCCTGGCCTGTTAGTGTTGACTTTCGACCAAGTGACCATGATATTGACCTCTAAACACTGTAACTCCTATCTCCTGTGTTACTCTCACCTAGTTTGTTGTCTTTACCTCTGCCTTGGCCTATGCAGTGTTGACCTCCAACACAACATCTTTGTGTTCTCTTCCATGCTGAGGCCACCTCTGGCTCAGTTCGTATGGCGTCTGATTTTAGTGGGTGATTGGTGGGTGCTCTGGTGTGGTTTGCTCCTTCTTTCCTATCAGACATCTCTCTTCCTTATCTCTCCTCTTTTTTTGTGTATGTTACTGTCTTGTAACACGTCTATTTTTCGACACTTGTACAACCTTATTGTGTTGCAAGTGCCGTAAAACTCGTACGAAAACTAAAACAGTCTGATTTTCATTTTTAAGTAGATCATGATGAGGAACTGAGTTAGTTTTACAAAGCAGAGTTGTTTTGTTGACTCTGTGATTCTACAAGACCTGAGATGAGAGAGTTCTGTATTCACATCAACCTATCCTGTTGTAATATGACCGGTAGAGAGAGTGGGGTCTCTTTTTCTTGATCTCTTTGTGTCTGCTGCAGCCTGTGGCACTTAATAACTCTCAGTTATGGTGATGGCACTGAGGCTAAGGTCAACTGGAAATGCCATGTCCTACTAAAACATTACTTGTACAAGTAAAGATCAGGTTGGGTGTTTGTGCATTTGTGTGCACTGGCCTCTTGTCTATGGTATTGTTTTCAGTGCAAATAGAATGCAATGGGAAAAGGTTTGTTTTAAAAAGTTGTGTACTACAGTCGTCAAAAATTTTTTGTTGACAATTGCCAGTAATGAGGTCTGTGTGTGACCACTGATTTCTGCATATGATCATGTGTGTCTTTATATGTGTTTTTATCTTGTGCTTGTTACCAGCTATAAATGTGTAAACATTTTTTTCCTTTAACAGGTTGGCACATTTGACCCGTACAGCGATGACCCTCGTCTGGCAATCCAGAGGGTGGCACTCTGTGCACTGAGTGAAACCCTGGTCGTGGCAGGCTCTGCTGGTCAAGTCTTGGTCTTCCACATGGAGAGGCAGGAGAGAGAGCAGGACCTCAAGGTATGTCTCTACTGCATAGTTTCTATATATTTTTTCTTTTGTTTCAGTAACATTTAGGGCCTTTTAAAACTTTGCACAATCATGTTCTATCATTCATTTGATTTTTACCTGCATGGCCTTTTAGAATTTTTCATATGAAATTTCGTCTTCCATTATATTCCAGAGTTTTTAAACACGTGTACAATTTTTTAGTGGTTTGTAGATGGCTCTGCGGGAATATTTTTTGTCTGCTGTTCCAGACCTGCCAAGTAGGCCTACGCCGATAAAATGGGAGCTCTCTTATATTATTTTACCCATAGAAAAACCCCAGTCCTATTTGCATAAAATTGATTTTTTTTTCCAGAAATAAATTCCATCTCCTCTGATCAAGTGAGACTAATCGAAAACATGAAAATCCCCCTTAACCCTCGTCCTGCGGGAGCCGGGTTTATGTTGCCCGATAAGCCTATTTCGGCACCTCGCCTACGTTCTGGTCCCGAATCAGTGTAGCTCCTGGCTCAGCGCACACGCAGCGCGCATCCTCTTACGTGTCATTCGGGTCCCGAGTCGGATCCCCATTCACGCAGGTCAAGTGTGTGTGCGTCAGTCTGCTTGAGTTTGTGTGCGTTTGTGGCCTTCTTCTAGAACCGCCTGCGTTGGTTCATAATCGAGGCATGCATCTCATTCAAAACATGCCAAGTTGATAGCTCTAGATGTTCGTCTAATGAAATTATAGAAGAAATTGACCCACTTAGACATAAGGAGCTCGAAAGGATAGTCAGGAAACAAGATTTCCATTTTTCTAAACAAAATCTTTCAAATGAGTTTGATTTTTGTATGAAATGATACTACCTGATAAAAAATAAGCTTGTTTGATAGTTTTGAATACCATTGTGCAGGTACAAAGAACAATTTGAGTGTAAAACATTCGGAAATTGACCTATATTATCCCCTTTCAAACCTCAGAGCATTCATAACAACAAGAGTGTCCAGAAAAGTTATTTGAATGGGCGTAACTACTCGTAATGTCTTATCAGCTTGTGAGAGGGGGTTATTCATGTGTTTGTAACACTTTATAAATAGAAAGCTATGAAAGATAGAGTGTTATTTTCATCATCAATTAACACACTCCCACGGTATTCATGGCGAAAACACACGTTTCCCGGTGCGTGCGCTGTACACCAACAATACACGCTGAGTGACCCCGGCGGCCTGCCCGGCACGTCTGACGTAATCGGTTGCTGATAAGATTCGCATCTCGGCATTAATAATCGCGTTTGATTGCAATATTTGCCGAACATACTGTGAAGAATGTGAAAATACATATTTTTATTTGTATTTATTTGCAGTAGTTGCAACACCTATCATATAAATTGAAAGTAACTCATTTTAATTTTTGTGTATTTGCTACATACATTTTTATTTGCCATGATCAGTTTGTTACTTAATCTTAATTTACTGGGGTTGAGGAGACTTATTTTTTCCCCCCAAGCTCCTATATTTTAGGGGATTTTGAGGAATTGGTCTTCAAAATTCCTTTGGATAGGGATTAAGAACCACCAGACTCCTCACACTAATGTCAATTGTTAATGATAATATGTGTCACAAACAGGTGCTTTGGATAAACAGCTGTGTATGTTAATGATGTGTATGTCGCTGTGTACCTGGTGGTAGGGATGTGTAGTGTAGTTTTTTCTGCTGGACTTGCAACTGTAAAGTTACAGGTTCAAATCCTGATTTTGGCACTAACTTGTGTCCTTGGAGAAAAGCACTATGCACAAATTTTTTAAACTTCACTCTGATTAGAATGGGTACTGGACTAAAGATAATGAAAGGTCTTGTCCGTATGTTCGTGTTTGAATGTTTGTTTGCTCTGAATGTTTCAGAATATTAGGGGTTCTGTGCTTTGGCCCTGCACTCGGAGTGGCAGCTGTAAGTACTCACTTAGAGGGAGGGAAAAGAGGAATGATGAGGGCTCAGAGATGAATAACAATACATGAAATGAATGGTAAAACACACAGAGCCTTTGTTGTCTGGAAGGGATATGAGTTATATGAATGCAATCTGTTATTATTTTACAAAGCAGCTCATGTACATCTGGCGATACAACTGTTATAACATCCAGGATACATTTTTCCGTGTCTGATTTATGTTGTCCTTCTTTCAGGAGGTGAAAGTGAACATCATGGCTGACCATGAGGGCTTTGTATGGAAGGGTCATGAAGCACTTACCTGTAAGGTGGATGACCTCAAGTACGCAGCTGGCTTCCAACCCACCTGTATCATGCAGCTGGAGCCCCCGGCAGCTTGTACTGCTTTGGCCCTGCACTCGGAGTGGCAGCTGTAAGTACTCACTTAGAGGGAGGGAAAAGTGGAATGATGAGGGTTCAGAGATGAATGACAATACATGAAATAATAGGAATTTGTGAAATGGGGTATGGGAAGAAGGTTTGTGAGCTTAAGGGCTGGCTTGTCGAGGTAGGTCCGGCTCTTTTCAGCAAAAGCTCACTGCCTTGAAATATGGTTTACTTAATAGTGTCCAACTCCATGCCTATGTCTTTCAGTCCTACTGTGCGCTGGTGAAGTCGGTAGTCAATCAAATTCTGTATAGGACTGGTTATGAAGTACTGGTGGAGCTAATTGATTGTGTGGGACTAGTTTTTCAAGAACAGACTGTAGAAGTAGTTAAGTAATGAACTGGTTCTGTAGGACTGGCTTTGTTGTTTCCTGGTAAACCCTCATGCTCTCCTGTTTGGATACTGTCTTGCAAGTTCCACTTTTAGGATGGAACTGTTCTGCTGCCAGTGGAAGCCAGTTTTCAGATCAGGAGTTACCATATCCTCTTTGTTCTAGAGCATGTTTCCAGTCTACCAGTGGCCCACAGCAATTGTGACAGTTGTGGAATATAAAACTTGAAAGTATTACATGATGTATATGGGTGTTTGTTTTCATGTGTGCGTTTGTCTTATGAGTTGTGTTGAACATTATGGTTGTTTGTGATATATCTGTGTTTATCCATTAACATGTCTGTACATTGTGTGTTCTCCAGTGTTGCTGCTGGCACTGGCCAGGGATTTGCTCTCCTGGACTATGCTCAGAAGAAAGAAGTTGCCACACGGTGCACACTCAACCCACATGGTGAGTTTTAATTTTTCAGAATGTTGTGGGGTAAGTGCTCTCATGATGTATGTAAAGGGTAAGTGAATAGCTGAAATCCTGCAGTAAAGAAAGTAAGGCTTGAGATTTAAAATCTGTTCATATAAGGTTTAATTTTGTCTAATTTTTTCTAGTTACTTTCATTTATAGTGCTTTCTAGAGTCACATGACGAGTAGTTTGTTGGCTAAGATGTATCTTTGTTGTTGATGTTAACAGATTTGACTGGCACCTCGGACACAGCTATGTCGCGTAGGAAGTCTTTGAAGAAGTCTCTGCGAGAGTCATTCCGCCGACTGCGAAGACGTCGCTCAGAGAAAAGACAAAGAGATCAGAAGAAGGAAGAGAAAGGGTGAGTGTTTGAAAATGAAGGTAAATTCAGTAGTCTACGCCTAAGATCCCGGTGCTCGGGAGCAAGGAAAATGCGGGATCTTAGCTGAATGGCCAGGGAAAGAATCCAACGTAACTCGTGGTCAGACCCATAGTCTGTACTATGATCTTCCCTTTAAAATGAACTTACGTGACTCCTGGGCACTAAAAGTTCATTTCAGAAGTCAATTTTCCCTTTTTTTTTGTTTGGGGGGTCTGGGGGTGGAGCTTTTTAAAAAATACTGTTCCAGGTGGGAACCAGTTGGCTTCAAGCATTGCCCCTCCACCCAAAATTTATTGCTTTCCTTCTCTAAAGGAGCACCCCGCCTATGTTATGGTGCATCATAAGTCATTGTGTTGTGACCACAGGGACCAAATTTAAAAAAAATAAAAGGCAGGTTCACTTCCAGCAAAAGACCCCATTACGCAGAGGTGATCGGACAGTTCACGAGAATGCGACCAGTTTGTCTAGGAAGTTAAAGCGCAAAACTGAAAGATGAGAGCGATGGTCGGGAAAAGGTAAACGTCCACGAGTTCACAGTTTGATGGAATGCAGTCTGACGCTTGCTTGTAGGCCCTCCCCGCCTAGTATTTGATGTAAGATCAGGTGGATCCGGGATGGCTCAGGTGATCAGGGAAAGCAAGGCATCGACGAGTTCACACCTTGGTGCTATCCCGTCTGGGGTAAACATTGTAATCGCTTATCGCGATTTACAACAGGTTTTGTCGCATTCACGAGAGTGAATGATAGCACATTTTCGCTACTTGGTTGATCAGCTGAGTGCCCAGGTTTCTTATTCTTTTTTTTTTCTTAAATAAAGACAAAAATAATAAATTTAGACCTGAAAAGCGGGATCATAGCCAAACGTAGCTCCTTCAGTGCTGGGTCTTGGGCGTGACTTTTATATAGTAAAAATTCTGTTTTTCCAAAACAGCGGGATCTTAGGCGAACCGGGACCATAAGCAGTGGGATCTTAGGCGGAAACTACTGTATTGAGCTCTGTCGGAGGTTAAGTCCTGTAAAAGTAGGAAGAATTCATGAGAAGATGCTTTAGGCAAATGCATTTGTACACAATGGTGTAATCTACTTTTAATTATGATAATAAGCAGCAGTTGTTAGTGCTGCAGTCTCGATGTGGGCTGTCTATGTGGTTGAAATTTGATATCATGTTGTGCTCACTTTGTTTTTCTCTAATAGGGAGGGCCAGAACATTGAGGAGACTGGCGGAGCTACAGCAGGTCCCTCTGGCGCTGCTGATGCTGGTGCTGCTACTGCGGTTGCTGAGTGCAAGCCTGAGGAGCGTCAGGTGGAGGCTCGCAGTGGGGATGACTCAATGGCTTCCATGGTCCGCTCGCTGTACTTTGCTGACACCTTCATCATCAATGGTAGGTCATGGTGTACCAGGATCTGTGTGCGTGTGTGATTGTGTGTGTGTGTGTGTGTGTGTGTGTGAAGGGGAGAGGAAGAGAGAGAAAAGATATTATCAATGTATAGTATTATTATACAATGGTGTGATTATGTATTTGAGTAACTTTTTGTATTTTTCTAAGTGTTACATTCTTGCATTTGTGTATGTGTATGTACAATCTTGCATTGGTGTGTATATATTCAACTTTGTATTTGAACAATTTGGCATGTGTACAATTTTGTGTCTGTGTGCATGTATTTACAATCGTTTCACTATGTATGTGTTGCTTGCCCTTATTATATACCAAATGTACATTCTTGTGTTTGTGTCTCCTGACAGGTGGCTCTCACAACCCGTCTCTATGGGTGGGCACCAACGGGGGCCACGTGTACGTGTACAACTTGTCTGTCCCTGGCTCTGACAAACGCACAGCTGACTACGTGTCCTGCCTCCTGGCCAAGGAGATCAAGCTGAAGCACCAGGCCCCCGTGCTGAGCATGGCAGTCATTGACAGCAAGAATGCCGTGCTGCCCGATGCTTTCGAGGTCATCAATGAGAGAGCCAAGGCTCCCGACATGGAGGGGCAACATTCAATCATCATCTGCTCTGAGGAACAGCTCAAGGTTAGTAGTAATAGTAGTAATATGATTGGGTAAAACTAAAGTTAAGACTGATGAAAACAAAATAGTGCGTTGCTGTAGGGCACATTTGAAAGTTTCATTTCCTGGCATTCCCCTCGTTGATTCTATGTCTTTCTTTTTGGCTACCATTTATTCATCCAGTGCCAGATCTGTGACAGAAGTGGGAGTTCATGATTCTCCATTCATTCCTTTTCTCGGATGCTATTAAAAAACCTTTTCCCTGATCTTTTCACGTTCCCCAATTGTTTTGGTTCCCTAAGAAGGTTGCTCTGGGCCTACCCCTGCCTCGTTTGCCTTCAATTTTGCCAGTGAGAGCTAGATGCTCAAGGCCTTTATGTCTATTCAGGTGTCTCCAAAACTGCATATGTCATTTCCTGACTGTCTTTAACATTGAGCGTCCCACGTGGGCTTCATCAAGCACTGCCTCATTTGATTTCTTTTCCTTCTATGATATTCTTAGCAGTCACATGGCTACCATAAATAACTGTTATTGTTCCAATGTGCATCTTTCCTATAAATTAATTTGGAACGAAAACTGAATGAAGTTTTGCCTCTAAAGATTATGTTACGAATGAAAAGGCTGGCTCTGCAGAAAAAAATAAGCAATTTGAAATGAGTTGATTTGTAGAGGAAACTAATGGTGCGATGTGCTTTTCCCCAGACCTTCTCATTGCCTGCTCTGAAGCCCAGATGGAAGAACAAGATCACAGCGATTGATGGAGCTAGGTTGAGGAAGATCAACTTTGTCACTTTCAGGAGAGAAGGTGAGCAAAAGTTTCATTAAAGGATTGTTGGGGGGGGGGGGGGGGGGGATGAGAATGTATCAAGTATAGTGTTGAGTTGGAAATATTTTGATATTCCTGATATAGAGATTCTTCAGGTCTCAGAAACATATTTGAGTACAGTTGAATTTTTCCAGTTTGAATAGAAAGTCTGAGAAAGGACAATGCCAAATTGTCTGTAGTGAGAAATGGACAACTTTGAACAATCATCTTGGAGTATGTCTATTGTGAAAACATAGTGCTGTTACATTACGTGGCATTTTGTCTGTATTGTTGTACTGGCTGTGTATCCTAATGGGATATTATTTCACAGTATCAACCTGTTCCTCTCCACCCACTATACAGGTGACAACTACACCGAGTTTGATATCGCCTGCCTCACCAACACTGGCGAGCTGCGTGTTTTCTCCGTGGCTACACTCAGACGTCAGTTTACCATTGGAGCCATCAGGAAGGAAGATATCCAGTAAGCCAGCTGATAGACACGCTCATCTATTTGCACTCGTACTCGCACACATACACGTACGAATGAACACATAGATGATAATATACATACTGGGATGTCATCATACCATCATACGCACACAGCCACATACAGATACTCGCACTCTCACTCTCTCTCTCACCAGTCGCCATATGAGACTCAGTAAACCACTGATTTGTACATGTCATCACTCTTTAGTCTCAAACCTCATTAACACTTTGCAGTCATACAGCCAGTAGTACAAAAGTGCGCCAGGTGACTGGAACGGATAATTTTAAAGTGACTGCAAAGTGTTAATGCACTTTTGTTAGATTTTATATTTTGGTTGAAAATAGAGGCACTATGCATGCTAGTCACAGTAGTAATAAAAGTGCACTTTGACCAATGAAAGTGTGTAAACATATCATGTAACTAATCCTTTTATTGTAAACTTTCACTTCCATTTTACATCTGTTAATTGCTTTCCGGTAACATTGTGTGCCTTGCAGTTACTAGTGCAGATGGTTGGAGGAAGTCATTGGTTGATCATACTTCTTCTTTTTCCCTCTATTATTTTTGTCTTTCTTACTTTTTTCCAATACTTAATGGCTGTTGTCTTGTCAACGTATTTCTTTCTACTCAAACAAGCAAACAGACGAGCAGTTTAGAGCTCTGCTATTTACAGTGATATCAACATTAACCAGAGGTCACAATGTCTATCCCATGTGTTAAACAGTGCTGTATACACGTGTCCATCCTGTCCCCAGTGGCATCGCCTCCTTTGTGTTCACCAAGGACGGCCAAGGCTTCCACCTTCAGTCCCCGTCGGAGTTCTGTCGTGTGAATCTGTCCACCAGCAGGAGCCCGGCCATGCCTTTGTGTCAGCTGGAACTTGCTGAGGGGCTCAGACCTCCTCCAGAAGAAAAACCACAGAGCTCGGCTGCTGGAGGGGCAGAGAACCCCACTGTGGAGGTGACCCCAGCCTCCGAAGAACAGTCACAAGAGGCTCAAGGGTGAGTTGCTTCACTCTATCACATGTGTGCTCTCTCACTCATTCTCTCTCTCTCTCACACGCATACACACAGATAGACGGTAATCTACGCATATATATAAACACACACGCATGCATACAAACACACATACATATGAACATGCATATACAAACACCTGCATGCACTATAATAGAGGCACATTCTCACATACAAACACCCACCCTCTCAACACTCACTGACACACACTAAGAGGATGTAACAAATGGTCAAATAAGCCATAAGGGGGATGCTGAGTAGGAGCCAGGTCACAATATGGTAATTTTTTCTGCACAAATGGAAGCTGCTTTTGTCTTTCAAATGTGCCTGCAAGTCTTTGCGGGGGGTTCAGTTGACTGTGGCCTCCAGACGAAGAAAACATGTTTGAAATACAACATGGCTGTTGGGTGGGTAGACATATTTTTTCGCTGTCATGGTGTTAGCATTATGTATTTTTATTGTATGTACTGTGGTTGAATGCAGTTGGAGGGTTACTCTTGTGTGTTCTACTGAATGACCATTATTGTGTGGATGCGCCTCGCCTTTCTCAAACAAAACGAAGCAGTGTATGTGTGCTGTATGAGTGTAGTGTTTGTAGTTTCTAACCTTGCCTTGGCTTGTGTCTGGTCCACAGTGAGGCTGAGGCCACAGCAGCCAGTGGCGATGACTCTAGGATGGACATGTCTGCCATGTCAGCTGACATCACCGTGGACAGTGTCAGAGATGTTATGTGAGTCCCAATCCTTACCACACCTGCTCCTATGTTTTCCCTTTTATATTGTAGTTAGTTGGCACCTGATCCCTCCTGCTCCCTCCCCCCTCTATATTCTCTCTCTCTCTCTCTCTCTCTCTCTCTCTCTCTCTCTCTCTCTCTCTCTCTCTCTCTCTGTCTCTCTCTCTCTCTCTCTCTCTCTCTCTGTCTCTCTCTCTCTCTCTCTCTCTCTCTCTCTCTCTCTCTCTCTCTCTCTCTCCCTCCTCCCCCCCCCTCCCCAGCATCCTCCTCCTCTTTCTCCACCTCCACTTTCCTCCAACTGACACATTTTCCCTGCATAAATAGCTTTTACTCTGTCAGTGTGCTTTTCTTCTTTTCAAAACCTCTGTCCTTGTTTTTGTTTTCGTAAGTTTTATTTTTTCCCCTTTCTCTCTGTGCTTAACTTTTCATTTTTTTTTGGTCTGCATTTCTTCTTGCCTCCCTATCCCCTCTCCCCCTCCCCTCTCATTTCTCTTTCCCCTTTCAATCTCTTTGTTCTTGATCTTCTTTAAATGATAACTAGTGTCTTTATCTCCCTATTCCATCTCTTTCTTTTATGGTCATCCCCCCCCCCCTCTCTTTCTCTCTCTCTCTCTCTCTCTCTATCTCTCTCTCTCTCTCACTCATTCTCTCTCTCTCTCTCTCTCTCTTTCTCCCCCCCCCCCCTCCTTTCTTACTTTTCCCCTTCCTCTCTTTTTTTCTCATACTTTTGTTGTTGTTGTGTTTTTTATGCTCATATATTGCTTCTGTGTGTCTGACAGAGAGGAGAGCGGCAACACCATCGTGACCTCGGTGAGAACCATCACCCAGACCACAACCTCCACTGTCACGGAGTCCGCAGCCTCAGCGACACAGGAGGGGGAGAACACAGTGGCAGGTCAGTAGGGATGGAGTTTCTGCCTCTGTATGTCTCTGTCTGTTTTTTGTTTGTGGCTTGTTTCTCTGTCTCTGTCTATATCTCTTGTCTCCCTTTTTTTCTTTCTCCATCTCTCTCTTTCTCTCTCTCTCTGTCTCTATCTTTAGTGTGTCTGTGTATTGGTCTCTCTCTGTCTCACTTTTTATCTCTTTGTAGGTATCACTGTTTACGTATGTGATGGGGGAAAAGAGGCCAAAAAGAAAATTGTGTGGAAGCGTCTCTAGTATTATTGTCTCCTGTTTTTGCTTGCCAATGAAACTTTTTTTTTTTACCCTCTTCATTGGGTTTTTATAAATGTTGCTACACAAGTTTTATATGTTGAAGATAAATACTGTTAATTCCTTGAGAGCACTTCTTTTTTTCCCCATTGTTGTTACTGTCTTACTTCTTCCTTTCACAAAATGATTGTTTTTGTGTCGACATGCATTTTTTTTTGTAAGGAGAAGCACATGGATCCAGTAATAGTCATTAAGTGCAAGGAAAAAAGCAAGACAGAGAGAAACAACTACAGGGATGTCACGGCATCTCTAAGCCCAAACAGATTAAATAATGTCCTTGAGTCATTGTGGTGCCTTTTGAGTGTCATGTCATGTGGGTCTGTGTTGACTTGTTATTGTGTATGAATTGTGTCAGTGTGGTTTCATGGTGTATAGTGCTGAGTAAGGTTCTGACTGTCTCCCCCTGGTTTCCCCACCACAGCAGTGACCAATGGCCTGGCCCAGGAAGTAGACGAAGTGACCGACGTGCTGAGAGAGACACAGGTGAGGGAAGAAAACAAGAGACTCTAGTGACTGGGGGAACACAGCCTGTGTCTGTTTACCTCTGTTTTGTATGATTGTGTGTGTGTATCAAGCTCTGTGTGTATGTATGTGCATGTGTAAGCTGTGTGTGTGGATGTGTGTGAAAGTGTCTTGAACTCTGGATGTGTGTATGTGTGGGTATGGATGGAAATGTAGGTAACCTTATGTGTATGTATATACCGGAGACTAAACAAGTATTTCTGGTGTAGAGAATAATGTTACCAGTGTCCTAACTCAACGTTGTACTCTGTGTCGTATATAGTGGAACCTACTTTGCTTTTGGTCGATGGCCTAACAGAAGGGGGAGGGGCCGCTTCGTGAGCCGCTGAAGGCTTGTCTCGGCCTCTTTGGTTTGTTCCTAGCCTTGCTTTAGACTTCTTTGTGTAGTCTTTGTACTTTAAGACTGATAATTTATGTCCCTGTGACTAGGAAACAGGTCACTTATGTCCATGTGACTAGGAGACTGGTCAGTTATGTCTCTGTGACTAGGAGATTGGTCAGTTATGTCCCTGTGACTGCGAGACCACTCAGTCCAGTCCTTGGGATTATTGCCTGGCCAGCAGTTATAATTATCTTTGCTAGTGGATGGAAATGACATGGTTCAGAGATGTAGCTCGAAATGACATGGTTCAGAGACGTAGCTCTCGACTCCAGGCAAGGGGAGTTGCATAGACTAACATGCATTTCCAGGGTCATGTCTCAGAGTTGTTCCCAGGGGTTATGTCATTGTGTCTTTCCCTCAGGGTGGGTGGTTGACGGATGCTTTGGTCGTGTAGTTTGCTCCTTCTTTCCTGTTGAACATTTATGGTTCTTTTATTTCCCTCTTTTTTGTTTTGTTACTCTCTTGTAACACATCTAATCTTCGGCGCTTATATGACCTAATTGTGTAGCAAGTGCTGTAAAATTCTTACTAAACAAAACTCCCCCAAGACAAGTCTGTTCTGTGAGGCTGACATGAATGTTTGTGAAACCTCCGCCCTTTGTGGTGGTGTATGTGTGTGTGTGTGTGAGAGAGAGAGATACCCCTGTGTTGTGTTCGTCTTCCTGACCACAGGGCTAGGTGTGGGAGGTCATCACTGAGCTCTTGCTTTCTTCACCTCCTGGTCACAGTCTACTCATGCTGCTTCAAACATTTGACCTCATAAGACTAAAGATGTCCATCCTTGTAGATAGTACAACATGGTTCTGAGTAGTTCATTTGAGAGGCTGTGACAATAGTCATGATAAGGGTGAACTGAAGCACTTTTTGATACATGGTGACAGTTCACAGCAGGTCGTGGTGGCGTCTGTATGGGTTGCTTTCTGGCTTAATCCCACAGCTTCTGTTGGAACTTGGGAAGGAACCAAAATTGGTATTGCTTAAGTGACAAACACTTCTCTTCTAAAAAGAACTCAGGATGTGTTGACTTTCAAAGCCACCTAAATAACTTCATTCTTTCTCTTGACGGAACAGGTTTCGTAAGTGTTTGTTGATATGGAATGAGTGTGTGTGTGTTTGCCCGCGTGTGCTTGCGCACGTGTGTGCTCGCAGACTTGTAAGTTTGTTTAGACTTTAATAAGTGTGGATATGTGAACAAATAAGAGTGTATATGCAAGCCTATTTGTTTTGTTAATGAAAAGCCTTCTATTTCCTGTGTCTGAGATCTTGTCTTGAATGTTTTTGAAGGGAATGGAGGCACCTGGGTTGTGTTTTTGTTGTTGTTGTTGGTGTTCTGCAGATCATATTGTTTTTTTCTGTCAGTTACTCGGTAGTTACTATATCACTGTTTGTCTCCAGCATGAGGTGACCACACGCACCAGTGAATTTGTGACCAGAACATCTGAGAAGTTGACCCACACAGGAGATGAAGTGACCAAACAGTTAAGTGAGCTCAAGATGACCACGGCGGTCATTGAGGATCCCTCCATGCTCAAACAGAAGCTGATGGAGTCCTCCTTCACCACTACCACCACCACCACCAGCAACAACGACACGGAGACGGCTGGAATATCAACGGATGGAGTATCATCAGCAGCATCCACCAATGGAGATAACTAAGGCCACACACAATGCAGCCGGTCTACGCAGCTAGTGGCCTCTGTGCACACACCATGCAGCCAGTCTCTACACAGAACACACATACAGTGCAACCAGTCTCTACCAGAACACATACAGCACAACCAGTCTCTACACAAAACAATAGGAGCCAGTCTACACAGAACACACATTCAACGTTGCCAGTCTTCAGTGCCCTCAGCAAACAGGTTACTCAGACTCGCCACATAGCCGTGAGAGCAGAGACAGTTTGACAGGATGTTTCATGGTTGTATGGCAATTTTACTCTGTGTGTGTATGTGTGCATGCATGTGTGTGTATGTGTGCATGCATGTGTGTGTGTGTCTGTTAAAATGTATGTGTGCTTGATGACTATAGTCATAGTGTGTGTGTTCGAGAAACCTTGTGCAGCTAGACCCCCCACTCCCCCCTCCCTCCCATCTTCATCACCAATGGCCAAGTATGTTGTAGAACTTTTCGAGATTCGAACCAGAGGACCACAAGCATGCCCTGAGAGTATGTGTGAAGTTTTCTTCGGGGTTTGTATGCAGGGAAAAATGTTCACCTTTCATATGAGGTTGTATGCACAGCCTTGATCTACTCTGCCTGGGCTGAATTTCCTTTATATCTGGTGAGCCTGAGAAAGTGAGCTCTAAATAAATTGACCTCTTGACCAAGTGTATTCTACCTTGTAACACAGTGGGACTGATGATACCACGCTCATGTACCTTCCATCCAGCCTTCTACTACTACTATTCTACAGGCGTTGCGTTATCACGGCTTCACAATACTCATGTCTGTATCGATTGTTGTACCTCCTTTTATTATCTCCACTTCTGCCGCATCCTTGGAGAGGAGGGACTGCCTCCTCGCCCGAGGTCTCGTTTCTCTCTGTGTGGGTGACAATGTAATATCTGCCACATTGTCATGTAGGTCACTGTACATGACATGACGGCACTCTGTACCAGGGAGGGAGCTATCTTAGAGGCTGTTTGGATACTAGATGACCTTCCATACACTACTTTTTGTTTAGTATCACAAAGGGCCACAAATGCTTCTCTTAATTTGTTAGAAGATTTAATGAAGGAAAATTTTAATGGATTTCTAATTGCTCTTGCAGATGTGAGGTGTGTCATTCGCCTCTTGGCATGACATGTCATTAGTTTAGTGACATGGGATGGCGTGAGCCTTGTGGCACAGCTTGTCATTGGTCGAGTTAAGGGTGTGTCATTTGTTTAGTGGCAGCGTGTTGTGCTGTGGCTTTATGGACTGCATCACATTATGTTGGCCACGCTGACTTGAGCTGAGAGCAACCAGGGAAACCCCGCCTCTTACTGGGCCCATTTTTACCAGCTACTTTTGTACAAAGTTTACTAAACTTAATGTGCTATGTCAATATTGTTGTAACTGTATATGTTTTTTTTCTGTATGACTCTGATCAGTTGCTTATTTTTCCACACACAAACTTGTACAAAAGGGCAGACAGACAGACATGCAGGCATTCCCAACAGTGCACATTCCCGAGGGGGACGCCCTATTTCTGAGAGAAAGAACTCCGTGAGAACAGTGCAGGAGATGGTAGAGTCAGAGCTCACTGCGTTCTGTTAGAATTGATGAAAGTTTTTACCTAAGCTCTTACCAGCAGACAATTAGTGTAGTGCAGTAGACAGTGTAAGAGTTAGAGTATGAACTTGCTTGCGCCTCCTCCCACACAAAGGCACTTTTCAGATTATTTAGCGGTGGAAATGAAAGAAATTGATAGTTTATTTTTGGTTAGCAAGATGAGACTGATGCCAAAATGGAATAATTCACTCGTGCAAGCAAAGCAGCAGGCATTTTTTACACTCATATATAAATATATATATAGATATATATATATATATAAATCTATACCTTCGTACTTGCATACTGATGTATATCACTTGTTTTGAATGTGACTTTCTTGTTGTGAATGGCATTTTGCAAGTCTACTTTTTTTGACTTTTTCTAGTGTGATGTGAGTGACATTTGAGCAGGAGCGACTTTTTTTTACATGAGTGACTTTCTCATTTAGGGTGTGATTTTTGTCATATGGGAGTGACTTTCCTTGATGGTAGTGACTTTTTGCTTACTTGAGTGACTTACTTTTTTTTTTCATGGGAGTGACTTTTTGATGATGGAAGTGACTTTCTTGTTTTGCTCATTTCTCTCATGTTCTTCACTCCTGTGAGATTGTGTTCCCAGTGCAATGTACATAGGGGGGGAATTCTCTACTCTTTATACCCCCCTCCCCTTATGTAGATGTAGACAGCTTTTTATTATGCTCAAGTTAGTGGTCGTGGGCCAGGGTACACCCCCACCTTCCCACCCTCCCTCCCAGTTGTTTACGAGAGAAATTCTAGCGTGTCACAGGATTGGTTGGGGGGTTGGTGGTTGTGGGGGGGCCGTGGCGTGGGACCAGATTGTGTTGTGATTCACTGACCTGATTTGTTGTGGCGAGCGTTGTGGGACCAGATGCTTGTCTTGTGATTGGGTTTTGCTGCTGCACCGCCTCGCTGTCCCTGTGCAGGGGGCCCAGCCATGGGGACAACCTGGACGGCCAGTCTACCTTTGGGGGACTTGTGACAGTGGTCTGCCCTGCCTGCAGGGTGTAGTGTGGTTGTGTCAGGAGGTGTGGTGTCCATGTATTGGGAGGTGTTTTGTTGTGTACCCCATGTGTCTGGTGGTGAGTGAAGGCTCTGGTGCGCTGGCTGGGACCTTGTGTGTGCATGTCTTTTGATTGGTCCAATATTCCTCACCAATTCCTGAGACCGTGAATTCCATTTTGTTGTCTGTTGCTACTAGTAATGGGAAGAGACGCTTGCAGTTACAGTTCTGTTGCTTTGCTTGCCCTCGATGGCCTAATGGGTTGTTTATTTTATGCATCACTTTGTTCTGTTACATGTACATGGACAAGTTTGTGCGTGTGGCTATACTGAAATAATGATGGTTGTGCAATCTAGGGGGCCAAATGCGGTTTCCCCTCCTTCCTTCTAGACGTATGAGTTCTGTTCTGTAGCAGTTTCAGTTTGGGTGGTGTTGCCAGTGACTCCACTATTCTTCTACTCTTTTCCATACTAACACTAGTCATAATCTTCGTCTCCTCACCATTGTATCTCAAAGTTCTGGCCTGTATGTGTCAGTACACCATCCTGGATGCTGGTGTTTTTCTGCAACACTGGCGTGTGCATTTTTGTGTGTTTGTAGACCTTTACAGAGTCACAAACTCTACAAATGACTACAGGGGGAGTAGCTATGGAGACGGCACATGTGCACAAGCTTGTGTTTGCTCACACATAATTGTGGGTACCAACAGATTCACACATGCACAACCTACACCTAACTGGGTACACTCTTGTGGGCAGAGACAGATAAAGAGAGAGATGGACTCTTGTACCTTTTTTGTAACCGTCCTCCTCCCCACCTTAGACTTACAGCTGCTAACACAGACGTCCTGGAATGTTAACGGAAGGAGAGAGAGCTAGAGAACGAGAGAGAGAGAGAGAGTGCCTTGTGTATACGACTTATTGCCGTGACCCCCCGCCCCAGTTTTTGTATGCATTTATTTTTGCTTGTCTCCCATGGGCTCTGTCCCGCCTTCTCCTGGCCCAGTCACGGAGCCCGCCTGCAGTAGTTCACTGACCAGGCGTGCTGTCTGACCGGCCTGCAGTAGGTTTTCCCTAACACTCTGTCAACGCTGGAGCATAGAGCATAGTTAACGCAATGTATTTTTTTATTTCACATTTTTACAAGAATAAAGTACTTTGCAAACCAAGCCTGTCTTTTGGTAGTATTCTTTGTTACTGTGCAGTAGTTTATTAGTGGGTGGAGTATTTGAGTTCTAGGAACTGAACTGTTAGGCCACTGGCCCACAGACCAGAGAAAATGTTGCTTCATTTGTGGAAAAGATGTAATGCAATCCAAAAAGTGAAGTCTATGGGTGGGCAGTCTTTTCAGACAGAAACAGATTCTGATTAACTTTCTTTCGATGCAAAATGTGCGTGGGTGGTTGGCCGATGTTCTGATGTGGTTTGGTTTGCTCCTTTCTTATCAAATATCTATTGTCCTTGACCTCCTTCTTTTGTTTGTATGTTCTTGTTCTTCTAATTAATCTTCGGCACTAGTATGAAATATGATCTGTGTTGCAAGTGCCCTAAAACTCTTATTAAAGCTTGTAAAACCAAAGCAAAATGTGCAGGGTCTGGATGGGCAGCCTAAATTATTACATGGTGAGAATGACAAAGTTACAAAGATTTTACTGTAACTACTACATGGTGAGGACTGCAAAGTTACAGAGACTTTACTGTAAATTTTATAGGCTTACTACATCATGGTGAGGACTGTGAAGTTACACAGACTACTTTTTTGGTGTTTTACAGCGCTCGCAACTGCATAAAAGGTCATATGACCGGGCGGGACATATTTAACTTAACATTTTCAGTTTGGTAGGAATTTTGAATCTTGCCCGAGTGGCGGCAGAAGCTTGCTCTTGTTGATTTTTCGACCACCAAGGGACCTTTAACCCTATCCGTACGTCCTGGGGTCATTTTGTACCCACGGGGTTGTATTCTTCACACTTTAGAATACTTCTTGTACGAAGATATCTTTGAAACTTTCAGTATTTCTCAAAAAATCATTTTGATAGACTGCTATGCAAAGCGTACGGATAGGATTAACGAGTAAATTTCCTCTTTGGAAAGTGGTGGCACAAAGTTCTCCACGTCGTATGGATACGATAGTAAAACACAACATATGGATAGGGTTAACATGCGCTACTTACACTTGGGATCTCCAAGATTTTTTGCCCTTATCCGAGAAGGCTAGGTGTTAGATCTTGCCTTCCATAACATCAAGGGTAGATCTGAAAGACAGCAGTAAAATTAAGGAGCCAATGATTTCTATTGCTGTCAGGTTTCGAACACGGTACGAATTGAATGAGAAACGTACCTCTAAACCACGAGAGCCGCGTAGACTTTACCTGAAATTTTTAACTTTACGGTGAGGACTACAAAATTGCAAAGACTTTACACTGTAAATACTGCATGGGGAGGATTGCAAGGTTATAATAATTTATGTAGACTTTACTGTAAATATTACACTTGTACACTGAGTAACAACTTTCCTGTTAATGTTAACACTACACGGTGAAGACTGGAGTCTTGACTTAATATTTTGGTGTACCATACTGTAAAGTACTGGAAGTACTAAGATTTAGTATTGGGTCCTCATACCCAACCCAGAGCGTCCCCGGGTGGTGGATAGGGGAAAGGCCTCCAGATATGGAGGTTAGCTGCTAAGCAGTCGCAAACCAAATGGGAGATGCCCTGGTGGCATAGGTGCTTCTTAAATACCTCACACACTCGAAGAAGGGACCATCTTGGCGACGGGAGGCGCCATAAATCCTACCAAAGCCCTCACTGCCTTGTGGGTTGTCAGTGGATGACAAAGGCTAGCGGAGACAACTGTACACAAACCGGCAGTTGGTAACGGGAAACCACTGCTGTAATATCCCAAGAATAGTCATGGAGAATTACATTCATTCATCAGATAACAGCGTTAAGGGGGTTCATGATCCAGCTCTGAACTCCCCGCTCGGCAGGGACTGCCACAGGCAGCAGGTGGCGCCCGACCGTCATCCAGCTACTGGCTGCAAAAATAAGCAACTGAACATAGCCACATGGAATGTGAGAACAATGTACCAGAAAGGAAAATTTGATAATATAGAGCAGGAAATGGACAGGATGAAGCTAAATATGTTAGGCCTTTCAGAAGTTAGATGGGAGGGGGCAGGCTGGATTAAAAGAGGATCCAAAATAATTGTATACTCAGGAGGAAAAACCCATGAAAGAGGAGTCGGAATTTTATTTGACGAAACAACAGCAAAGAGCATCAAAGGTTTTTGGGGAGTGTCAGATAGCATCATCGTGGCTAAATTAGAGGGAAAACCTTTTGACATAGGTGTCATCCAAATAATATATGCACCAACATCAGAGCACGACAACGAGGAAATTGAGACTTTTTATGAAGACCTTGATGAGGCAATGAAACTCTTAAAATCACAAGATGTAAAGGTAGTCATGGGAGACTTTAATGCCAAAGTAGGAAGTACACGTATAGACGATATAGTTGGGCGATGGGGGCTGGGTAAAGAGAATGAACGCGGGGAACGACTGGTAGAATGGTGCAGAGAAAATAATTTTATGATATCAAACACCTGGTATGAAAATCCCCCAAGAAGACGATACACTTGGAAGAGTCCTGGTAATAGAAGTAGAAATCAAATCAACTTCATACTTATTCTGAAACGTTTTAGAAATACAATTAAATCATCCAAATCACTACCAGGAGCAGACTGTGATAGTGACCATGTACCAGTCATGTGTAAAATGCGAATAAGACTGAAGAAACTTAAAAAGTCAAAGTGCCAACCAAAATTTAACATAGGTCTTTTAAAGACAAACCAAGAACTGGAAGAACGTTTCTCCATAGATGTAAGATGTAAGCAATACATTTCAAGCTTTGGAAAACATGACTTAATCGGAAGAACTATGGAGCAAAATGAAAGACTCAATAATGGAAGCTGTGGGAGAAAATGT